ACGTGCGCACGTGCACGCACAAGGACACAAGCTCGCACGCACACACACAACTAAAGTTTATAAAGATAATACAAAACTTATCCAAAAAGAATTTTCAATTCTATAAGAAGACATTAACATTACATTTAAAACATGACATTATTCAAGAGAACAACCTAAATGTTTACAGATTAATGGAACTTACTATTTTGCCACTTTAGAGATTAAATAAACCTTTGTGGAAACCTTCTAGTTATAAGATTTATTTAATTTCCTTAGATTTTCTTTCAAAATCGAAGAAAAACGTGAGGAAATTTATTGAATCTAATCTCTTATAATAATACCTGTAATTTCAATAGTTTCCTCTGTAAGGTTTTGCGGTGTCCGACACCGCGCGGAAACAAAACCTGCAAAAGGATCCCATGCATAATAATTACAATATAACAACATAGCATGCAATTAAAGAAAGCATAAACACATAAAGGGAAGAGAGAGAAAGAAAGGATAAGGGTATCTCACCCTTGACGCATGCTTCGCTCGTATCACAAGCTCGGACATGGAAAACTTCGAGACTCGCAAGTGCAACCCTGCAATGTCTCACACCTTCGCGAACCGAACTGGCCCCTACCTTGTAGATTAGACAAGGGTAGACCAAATAAAACTAGAGTTTTACGAACTTATAGGCTTTCTCACTTTAGGGAGATACTTTATTGAGCTCAACTCAAGTGAGAAATTCCAATACCCAAGGTGGGTATTTATAGGGAAATGCTCCCTAAAGTTCCATCAACTTTCCATATGGGAGAGTTGTTGAAATGAGAAAATGAATGATTAATTTAATTCCAAATTAAATTAATAATTACAATTCAATTAGTAATCAACAAGTGTCACAAGGAGAAGAGGAGGGTAGGTGAGGACCATAAGGAGGACCACAAGGCATCCTTGTTCCCCAAGCCACCAAACCCACCAATCACAACAAGCTAAGACCGGTCAACATTCTTGAGCAACAAGGAAAAGGTCGGTCAAGGCCTTGTGGCTTCGACATGGGCCTGCCAGTTGCACCAAGCCCACGCGGCTACACGCTTGCTGCTAGCTCGTTGGGCTGGGCAATCGCGCAAGCATGCTAGCTTTTGCTAGTTGCTGTGCCGCGGCTTGCATGCTGCTGGCCTTGCTTGCAGGGTTGGCTGGTGCGTGCGGGCTGGTGCAAGCTTTTGTTAGCAGGCCAGCCTTTATGCTTTTAGGGCTAGTGATGCTAGCATGCGCGCTCGGCCAGCTCGCCCAGCTAATACACTTGTGTGACTATTAGGCTTGCAGCCAAGCCATGCACATGTTTATAAGCCTTACTAGCCTAGCTTCCCTAGCCTTAATAGGGGGACATTCCTAGTCTTGCATTGTTAGCATCCCTTAATAAGAGGCCTTAGCCGCCCGAGTGTTGCCTTTTTAATCCCCTTATACGGAAGATGTTTGATAACATCTAAACAGACTTGTACTCAAACAAGAGAACTAACAATACTCATGGTCGAGGAAAGAAGTTTTGATAGCCATAATGAGTAATATACTTATGACGATTGTTAAATCTCTTGAAGTATTCTCATAGGTTGATCCGGTATAGTTCCAAACTAATACCAATGCAAATGATTTATGATAATCTTGTCCTTGTAGCATAAGAAACGGTGCTATATATAAATCATACTACACACTAATCTCGCGTGGTCATTAGTCGTCTAACTTTCAAATGACCTCGATTAAGGATATTTTTGATATGATATTCAACGTTCACTTAATAGGTGTTTCTTTATCCAAGACGTTGTCTTAATACCCTATTTTGAATATTCTCAAATCGAATGGACTCATTATTTAATTCTATACCATAATTAAATAGACATGGATTAATAATTTGCGAAAAATTAAAATTACTCCATAAATGAATAATATAACATAGTGTTTTACATTAAGATCTCCAAAACTTAATTAAAACACACAAATAGGAAAATTAAAGCCAGTCTCCGACATGCCTAATTCCCATTGCCTCAATGTGCTTGTTGTGTTTCACTTGAGGCAAAGGTTTAGTGAGTGGGTCGGTTATGTTATCGTCCGTTCCAATCTTACAAATTCTGATTTCACCTTCGGTCTTCCATTCCCTTATCATGTTAAATCGCCTCATGACATGTTTGACTTTCTAATGCTTCCTTGGCTCCCTGGCTTAAGCAATAGCCCCACTATTATCACAATAGAGGTCTATATGTCCTTTTATGGAGGGTATAACACCAAGTTCACCAACGAACTTACGAATCCAAACTGGCTGCTTAGCTGTTTCAGAAGCTACCAAGTATTCGGCTTTAGATGTAGAATTTACAGTCGTGCTTTGCTTAGCACTCTTCTAACTGAACACTCCTCTATTATTTAAACAGAACACATATCCTGATTGCGACTTGAAGTCATCTCTGTCAGTCTGGAAGCTTGTGTTGGTATAACCTTCAACAACGAAATCTTTACTTCCACCATACACCAGAAATTTATCCTTGTTCCTTTTTAGGTACTTTAGGATATTTTTGGACACATTCCAATGCGCCTCTCATGGGTCTGATTGGTATCGGCTCGTAGAACTCAAGGCAAACGACACATCTGGCCTTGTACATATCATAATATACATGATCGATCCAATAAGCGAAGCATATGGAATCTCACTCGTTCTCTCTCGCTCATTAGGTGTCTTCAGACAGTGTTTCTTGCTGAGAGTTATGCCCTGAGACATGGGTAGGTGGCCTCTCTTGGCTTCCACCATATTGAATCGTGCTAGTACCTTATCAATATAAGTACTTTGGCTCAATCCAATCATCCTCTTAGATCTATCCCTATAGATCTTGATGCCTAATATGTACTGTGCCTCTCCCAAGTCCTTCATTGGAAAACACTTTCCAAGCCAAGTCTTTACAAATTCTAGCATTGGAATGCTGTTTCCAATGACCAATATGCCATCGACATATAAGACAAGGAATGCGATGTCACTCCCACTGAACTTTCTTGTATTTACAAAACTCATCTAGATTCTTGATAAAACTAAACTTGCCAATGGCTTCATTGAATCGCAGATTCCAACTTCTGCTAGCTTGCTTTAATCCATAAATTGACTTCTTAAGCGTGCATACCTTTCCTGCATTGTTTGGATCTACAAAACTATCGAGCTGTTTCATGTACACAGTTTCTTCCAAAATCCCATTAAGGAAGGCGGTTTTGACGTCCATTTGTCATATTTCATAATCATAATATGCAGCATTTGCTAGGATTATCCGGACGGACTTAAGCATGACAACTGGCGAAAAGGTTTCATTATAATCAACCCCTTGAATTTTCCTGTAACCTTTTGCCACTAGTCTAGCTTTGTATACATATACAATTCCATCTTTGTCGGTTTTCAATTTGAAGATCCATTTGCAGTCGATAGGTGTATAACCTTTTGGCAAATCAACCAAGTCCCAGTCTTGGTTCTCAAACATGGAATCCATCTCGGATTTCATGGCTTCTAACCATTTAGCGGAGTTGGGGCTCGTCATAGCTTGTTTGTATGTCGCTAGCTCATCTTCATCCATGACTAGGATGTCCTGATTCTCGGTTAAGACCATACCGAGGTATCTGTCTAGTTGAGACCTTGGCCTTTGCGACCTGCGCAGGGTAATAGATTGAGCATTTACATTGTCGATTTGACTTTGACCATTATCAATAGGTGCTTCTAAAGCCCTTTAACTGTTAGTTTTGTCAGATTTATTTTGTTGCTCATCTACTCAAACTTCATCAAGTTTAATTACTTTGTTCACAGATTGGTTGTAGTAGTAATACCTCTTTATTTCTTTTGGATACCCAACAAAGAAACATTTGTTTAGATTTTGGTGCAAGCTTGTTGGACATGAGTCTTTTGACATATGCTTCGCAACCCCAAATCTTAAGACAAGACAACCATGGAGGTTTCTTCATCCATAACTCATATGGAGTCTTTTTGACAGCTTTTGACGGAGCATGATTCAATGTTAGTGCCGCGGTTTGAAGTGCGTGTCTCCAAAAAGAGATAGGAAGATCGCTAAGAACCATCATGGATCGAACCATGTGTAACAAAGTTCGATTTCTCCTCTCGGACACTCCGTTCCATTGTGGAGTTTCGGGAGGTGTCAATTATGAGAGAATACAATGTTCTTTCAGATGGTCGTCGAATTTGTAGCTCAAATACGCGCCACCTCGATTCGATCGAAGGGCTTTGATTTTCTTGCCAACCTGATTTTCCACTTCACTCTGAAATTCTTTGAACTTTTCAAAGGATTCAGATTTGTGCGACATTAGGTAGACATAGCCATATCTACTATAATCATCCGTGAATGTGATAAAATAGTGATAACCATTTCTTGCGATTGTGCTCATTGGTCCGCATACATCCGTGTGTATGAGACCCAATAAGTCACTAGTTCTTTCTCCTAACTTGGACAATGGTTGTTTTATCATCTTGCCAAGTAAGCATCCTTCGATATTTTCAAACGACTCTAAGTCAAATGAATCAAGAATCTCTTCATTAGAAGTATCTTAATGTGTTTGATGTTTATATGGCCTACACAACAATGCCACAAGTAGGTTTGATTCGAGTCTTTTGGTGGTATTGTTAACATTTTAAACCTTGTCTAATGAAAGCACATAAATGTGAACACTGTAGAACATATAATCAAGACATGTAAAACAACCATTGTCATTGTCTTGTGATAAAAAACTACCCAGCGTCCAAGGCCAAAGATCATAATATATTCAAAGATAAAGCATAATAAAACAAAATAAGTTCTATTATATCTCAAAAGACAAATATTGTGCCTACAAACATGGAAGATTAATTCGTCGCCTTGGTTCAGTTACACGATTGGGTGTGGGGGTTCAGTCAAGAGCAAGTTATAATATTAATTATACATTAATATTACTGATCAGAAGCAGCCTCCAATTAGGCATTCCGATCACTTGACCTCACAGAATAATCAGCTTTCCTAATTAATTCCGAACCTTTTATCATAATAATACACTTGTTCGAAGGACACCATTCCTTTTATCCTCAATTATCAAAGTAAGCATACGAATAGTGCAAAAGTCATATTGTTGCTATAATTACAAAAAGGGGGTAGTAGTAATCTCAATTCGATTCTTTTCTACAACTTGTTATTTGATCAAGAATTCTTGTTTAAGCAGTTCATACCATCCATTTTCTATAGTTGTTTTCATTACTAAGGTCGCCAAACACACTGTAAGTTAACTGTCTAAACTAGAGCATTGAATATATCTTGTCAAAATAATGAGTAGAACCTTATATCTCTATATATCTAGTACAATGTATATAATTCAAAATGGTATAAGTGATAATTTAGACAGCATGTTTCAAAGAGATATATCAATAGAATCAATATCTCTCGTTTACAGGAGCACCTTTATTATGATGATGTGTACCAACAAGCTTTTTCCCCATATCTTGTAACTGTTGCCTTAGGGACACTGAATATACTACCAAACAACACCACAACAAAAATTATTCGATGTCTAAATTTTTTGAAAGTTTTACGAAAAAACTATGATAAAAGAATGTACTTACCATCCCCTGAATTCAGCCTGATAAGCAAATCATGACCATCCTTGGCATCTGGATCAAATGCACGGCAAAGAGGGTTCGAGTTACTAAAATGTATTGATTTAATTGGATCCAGCATTCCGAAGTGTACAAATAAACAAAACTACAAACCTTAGCCATGATGATATCAACAAGCACAATAAGACAACATTAAAACCCACCTTATCCTGCGAATTCAAATCACTGATGAAAATGGTATCCCTAACACTAAATATCAAGTATGTCCCTTTACCATCGAAATTCGGACTATTGTTGGAATAACTCAAAGTAGAAGCACCAATAGATCCATTTCTACTAGAATTACTTGCATACTTACCCCCTCCATTTCCTCTAACAAAACTAAGAGCTCTACCATTACTAGAACCCAAAATCCTGGCTGTTGCTGATATCACCCCACTTGCAACACTTGCACCAGATGTTTATGCTAGTGTGGTTTAAGTCGGGCTGTCCCTTAAATGAGCAAGGGTTATCTGAAAATGCACAGCTCATACCTAAGTTGAGGAAACAATATTTTTGTGTATATGAATAGCATCACAAAATGCAACAATGGTGATTTCTTCATTCAATTCAGTAAAACCTAGCAATTAAATTTCACTATGTTATGGTTTTAACGAATTGCCAAATACTCAGACAAAACACACCAATTTGAGTAACAAATTAAATACTGCTTACAAAACCAAAAGATAAGCACAACCATTTCAAATAAAATTATCTTCAATCAAAATTCACAACAGAAACAACTCCAAACAGCACAAATCATCCTAGAGAATGAATATAAAATTTTGAATTCGTGTACCTTATTCCATAATGCTGCAACTCCCAAATAAACACATAACCCAATTTGCAATAACACTAAAAAAAAAATTAAAATCCACAAACAAATTATCATCAAGATCAAAGCAAAATCAACAAAATCAACCCTAATAAAAATTAAAAAAAAACAAACAAACAAAATTCATTAACAAACAAATACCCAAAAAAATCATCAAGATAATAAATTTTCAATTTTAAAAGAACCTTGAAAATACATGAAAACAATCAATCAACAAATGAATACACAAAAATTAATCACTAAATTTCATCTAAAATCAACAAAACAAACCAACTGACCAAAAACATAGTAAAATTAACAAACGGGTATAAGAAATTTAACCTGGGAAACGGTATTTCCATGAGATTAATGAAGAAGGATGAGACTTTTCATACTGAAGTTTGTAACGACCTTCAGGAGTTTTAAAATAATTCTTCAAAGAAGATTGCGTATTATTATTATTAATTGATGATACACCTCCAGATGTTGATGATGAAGCCGACATCATTCCAATGCCATTGTTCATCATCTTTGATTATTACATTTAGGATTATTTTCTAGGGTTTTCAAAACTACCAAAATTGAATTGAATTTTTCTTCCTTATTTTTTTTTATCTCAAATTTCGAATTTTGTTTTCTACAGAATGAAATTCAAGTGAGTATCAAATTATATTTGATTTTGGCTCAATTGTCCTTTTTTTTTTTTTAATTTTTTTTAGTTATTTTTGGCGTTGTTTGAATGAAGATGAAGATTGATTGTGTCCAAAAAAGTGCTTAGGAGGATGAAGTTGTGACTCAGTTAAAAAGTTGACGAGCTGAAATGAGTTAATTTTATTTAGTGCTTTTTGTTGCAGTGGAAACATTCATCCATCTCCAACTCCAAAAAAAGGAATGGATGACCGACCATTAAATTTTGAAAAATTAACAACAATAATTCGAACATTAGACGGTCTTTCAATATTAAGTTCAACTTGAAAGGAATGGTTCCTTTGAATAAGTGTACTATTCCAAAAGAGGGTTCGGAATTAATTAGAAAATTAATTATTCAGTGAGGTCAAGTGATCGGAATGCCTAGCTTTAGGCCGCTTTCGATCAGTAATGTTAATGAATAATTTATATTACAGCTTAATCTTGACTATACCCTTCGGGTCACACCCAGTTATGTAACCGAACCGAAGTGACAAATTAATCCGAAGGATTAAATGAGTCAATAGAGATTTTTCAAACTAAGATGTCAGATTCCGAGCTTAGAGCGTCAAAATCGAACGTCGTGCGTCGAGTCAATTTTAGGACTTAACAAAGACGAGAAAAATAATCAAACGACGTATCATGCTAAAATTACAAGGATAGCACGAGCCCTAGCCATGCCTCAGATCAAAGGCATGTGGATAGGGCCACAAGACAAAGCACCAAGCACCAAGCCACCACAGCCTAGTAGGCCTACGCATCATAGCAGCCTAGCGGGCTTGTCCAGCGAGGCCAGCAAGCAGCCAGTGCTCGCAACATTGCTGCTGGGCCTGTGCTGCTGCTGCTTGCTTACGATAAGGCGTTTGGGCCTGCTGCTAGGTGTGTGCTTGCGGCTTAGGGCCCGCAGGCCTAGCTTTGTGCCGCAAGGCTGGCCTTTTTGCCCAAGGCCGGGTAGCTGCCCTAGTTGATCGAAATGTGTGGGGGCAGCTATGGCCTTGTTCTCCAAGGTCAAGGAGGTCCTCCCACCTACTCCCTCTTTGTGTGATGACACTTGTAATTTGATTATTATTTCATGGCCTTTTCATTTAATTTAGAATTAAATTAAATCTTCGTTTTGCTTTTTACCAACTATCCCACATTGAAAGATGATTGGAATTCTTTGGGAGATATCCGTATAAATACCCATCATTGGGTATTGGAAATTTCACTTAAGTTGGTGAATTTTAAGGGATCTCCAAAAGCGAGAAAACCTTTGTGTTTAGGAGCATTCTTTTTCTCTCTTGTCTCTCTTCTTTTATGTTTATGTTTATTTGCATGTTTTTATTTATGCTTAATTATTATGCATGCGATCCGCTTATCCGTTTTTAATTCGTTGCAATCTCGACACCACAAAACCCAACACAACTTTGATTATTTCAAAAATAAGTCTAACTTTGATTTCTATTTTACCTATGACCGGTCAAACAAGTCACCAATTGACTTATACAATAATTAATGATCCATTTTTATTTTTTGTTTTAAATAATTATATCTCATTTAATAAATAAACAAAACTAGATTTAAATACTATTTTTTCCTAAATAGTACTATAGTTGAAAAAATTTGGGTTGTACGCTAGGTGTGGAAGGGGAGAGGCTTGGTGGTTCTAGGTTCGCACTGGCTAGTGTAGAGGAAGTGCTCCATTGGCCGCTAGGTGGGGCTGGCTGGTTCTGGGTTTACGCTGGCTATGGTAGAGGGTGGATTTAATCGGGCCATTAGATGGGGGTTTTGCCAAATAAGGCTAGGGGTTGGGGGCTTGTGAGCATGGGATTAGGTGGGGGTTCGCGATAGGTTGGGTGGAGGTTGAAAGGAATGGTGTCCTTCGAACAAGTGTATTATTCCGATAGAGGGTTCGGAATTAATTAGAAAGCTAATTATTCATTAAGGTCAAGTGATCGGAATGCCAAGTTGGAGGCCGCTTCCGATTAGTAATATTAATGAATAATTAATAGTATAGCTTAATCTTGACTGAACCCTTTAGGTCACACCCAATCGTGTAACTGAACCGAAGCGACGAATTAAACCAAAGGGTTATATGAGTCAATAGAGATTTTATGAACAAAGACGTCGGATTCCGAGCTTAGAGCGTCGTAAGTCGAGTCAAATTTAGAAATAGACGAGGAAGAAAAATCATCCAAACAACAAGTCGACGCTAAGTCGTAGCCTTGCATTGGCCTAGCCATGCGAGGGCTAAGCTAGCAATAGCCACCAGTCGCAAGGCATAGCTGGGCTACCAAGCCTTGCCGCAAGCCAGCACTTGGCTGCTAGCGCGCAAGGCCAGTAAGGCCTAGCATACATGGCGCAGCAACAAGGCTAGTAAGTTCATGCATGTGTGGTGCGCCAGTAAGGCCAGCAGCCAGCCGAGGCTTGTTGGGCCTCGCTGAAGGATAGCAGCGCCCAACAGAAGCCCGTATGCATGTCCTGCATGCTTGCTAGGCCGCACGCGCACGCAGCCATGCTGGCAGGTAAGCCTAGCACTAGGCCACCAGTTGGGATTCCCTTGGTCCGCATGGCCGACCACCAGCTGACGCACTGTGAAAGGGCATGGAGTAAGGGGAAGGTGGCCTCCCCTTGTGGTCCTCACCTAACCCCTTGCTCTCCTTGCACCACTTGTCGTTTGGTAATTCTTCTGGCATTTTAATTTAATGTGAAATTTAATTAAATCTTATTTTTGCTTTTTACCTACTATCCCACATTGAAAGATGATGGGAATTCTTGCGGAGATTTTCCTATAAATACCCATCATGGAGTATTGGGATTTTCACTTGAGTTGGTAAACTTTAAGGGATCTCCAAAAGCGAGAAAACCTTTGTTCGTAAACTCTAAGTTATTTTTTGTCTAGCCCTGACTAAGCTTCGGGGTAAGGACCAATTATAGTTCAGTAGCGAGGGTGTGAGCCATTGGAGGTTCTCGCACTTGCGGAACTTGAAGATTTCAAGTCTGAGCTCGATCATTAGTTGAGCGAAGCACACTATAAGAGTGAGAATTATTTCTCTCTCTTCTCTTATGTTTATGTTTATTTGCATGCTTTTATTTATGTTTTAATTATTATGCATGCGATGGACAAAGTACTTCACTGCGCGGTTTTAGGGTGATTTAGTGCTCACTTATTGCCATATTCTAGATATTTTGCTCACTTATCACTTATTTACACACTTTCTTCATATTTGTCATGCTTCATGGGTTTTGTTAGTGTTTTAATGCACTTTCAAGGATGCTTGGACCCCTACGGGACATCCCGATGGTTGGGATAGAAGCCATTGCGTTGAGGTATCTTTAGCTAGGCTTGAATTTCATTTGAAGACCTACTGGGAGCTACATAACCATGCATGATGCTTGGAACGGCCGTGCAAGGGAGTTTGAAGATTGGCAAAGCCCTCTAAGAAGGCTGCATGGACGTGCAGAAATTGGAACGCCCGTGCTGAAAGCTGCATGACCAAGCATGATGTTTGAAAGGAATGGTGTCATTCCAACAAGCGTATTCTTCCGGTAGAGGGTTCAGAATTATTACGGAGCTAATTCTTCAGTAAGGTCAAGGGATCGGAATGCCTAGGTGGAGGCTGCTTCCGATCAGTAATATCGAGGTACAATTGATATTACAGCTTAATCTTAACTGAACCCTTCGGGTTGAACCCAATTGAATCACCTATTCGAGACGACGAATTAATCCGAAAGGATTTAATGAGTCAGCAGAGTTTTACGAATACATACGTCGGAAATCGAGCCTAGGGCGTCGAGACCGAGCGTCGCAAAATCAAAAACGACAAGTACGAGTATAGCCGTAGCACCACAACGGTCTAACCATGTGGATGCTAGGCTAGTTCGAGCTAGCATGCACCTAGCATGGCTAGGCGCACCATCGCAGCCTAGGCATGCGCATGGCAGCCTATCGCAAAGCACCACAAGCCCCAAGCAGCGCATCACAGCTAGGAGCTTGCTAGTCTAGGTGCCTGGGTGCGCATGGAAAGCCATCGCAAGCGCCACAAGCACTAGGCAAATCATCGCAGCTAGCAGCATACTAGCCTGGGTGCCTGGGTGCATGTGGCAGGCTATCGCAGCAGCATGGCACCACGCACAGCACCATCACAGTGATAGGCACATGCGTCTGTGCATGTGCGTGTGCACTATCGCCCAGCATGACGCAGCTGGGTGCTTGTGTGCGTGCCTTCGCATGGCAGCACCAAGCACAGCGAGCTAGCAAGCAACGCTGGCCTTGCGTGCATGGGCACCATCGTAGGTCACGCACTAAGCACAGCGCACCCATGTGTGTGCGTGCCTCGCACCGAGCATAGCAGTGCTGGGAACTGGCTGATGCGTGTACGAGCGCTGCGTGGTGCATGGTGGGTGGTGCGTAGGATGATGCGAGGGAAGGGCTAGCATGCGTGGCTCGATAGCAGCACGCATGCTGGCTGTGCTAGTAATGGCGCGCAAGGAGAGTGTGTGTGGGCTGCTAGGGCCAGTGCCAGCACTATGTGCTAGCAGCGTCCAGCGCCAGCACACTAGCACCAGCACCAGCCCAGCAGCAGCACGCACTAGCTGACTGGCTGGGTGCTGGGCAGCAGGGCACTGCTAGCTGGCAGCCCTAGCTGGCGCGCTAGCTGGCGGCCAGCTAGCCCTCCCTTATCCCGGTTTGTTCAAGGTTGTGGGGACCAAGTCAAGCCCTTGGGGAGCAAGGCATATGGTCCCCACCTAACCTTGGCCACCACTCCTTTGCATGAGAACATGCCACTTGTCGCAATATGATTACTTGATTATTTATTTAATTTGGAAATTAAATAAATGATTGATTTTCAACACTCCCACAATGGTGGAGGATGAAAAACCAAGGGTTCATTTCCCTATAAATACCATGCTTGGGTATTGGGAAATGAACAACCTTGAGTGGAATTAAAAAGGCAACTCTAAGAAAGAGTAAACTTTTGATTCGTAAAACTCATAGTTATTTTGTCCGGGTCTTGAATAACCTTCAAGACTTAGGACGCTCGAGTCGGGTCGAGGGTACGATCCGTCGGAGATCTCGTGTTTTCGGGATTTTGAAGTAAGAGCTCTTTGGGAGCGAAACACGCGTCAAAGGTATAATTCTTGTTCTTAATCTTGTTTGATTAAGTTTAATTTGCTTGTTAATTGTTTTAATTAAGGGGCGGGTCTTGGTGGGTTTCCTTCCGCGTAGTGTCGGGTCACTATGAAATCCTACAGCGGTATCGGAGCCACGCTCCTTTTAATTTTTGCAATTATTTTTTTAATTAAGGTGTTTTAAAAGAATTTAATTTTCTGGTTCATGTTCTTCTAATTAGATTAGATGCTCGTT